TCTTTAGATTATAATGTTGAACAAGGAGGAGCTAATTTTAGTGTTGGACAAAGACAATTACTTTGTCTAGCACGTGCAATTTTAAGAAATAATAAGATTCTACTTCTTGATGAAGCTACAGCTAATGTTGATCCAACGACAGATGCTTTAATACAAAAAACTATTCGACAAAAATTTAAAGATTGTACAGTATTAACCATAGCACATAGATTAAATACTATAATGGATAATAATAAAATACTAGTTATGGATCATGGAATGGCAATTGAGTTTGATCATCCATACATTCTACTTAAAAATGAAGAAAATCATTTTACTAGAATGGTCAAAGAAACTGGAAAAGTAATGTTTGAACAACTTAAAAAAATTGCAAAAGAGGTATGCTGAATTTGTTTGTTTGTAATATCTATTATAACAATTTTTTAATATTTTAATATATTTTTATTAAATTTTAGGCTTATGATGATGTAATCACTGATACAACATTACAATCATCACCACAAGTTATAGATAATGATGATAATTAGATTTTTAATAAATAAAAAAATACCAATATTGTTCCTATTTAAATAATTCTTTATTTTATATATATAATGACGTTTTCTGTAATCAAAACTTTATAAGTTAAATTGTATAAAATATTTTTATGTACTTTTTTAAATTGTAATATTTTTATATACAATTTATAATACAATTTCTTAAATTCTATTTAATGTAAAAATATTGAGCACATACATTGAAATTATTAATAAATAAAAATATTATCTACTTTATATAAAAATATTTTTTATATCATTTAAATATTTTATAATAAAAAATATATTTTCTGTATCATTTTATAAAACCAAAATAAAAATATATATTGTATATGTTCAAAAAGATTCCTATATATTAAATATATTATATAAATGTGTAATTGTAATTATTTTTTAATAAACTATGTATATTATATATTAATATATTAAATATACATTATATCAAACCAATTTTCAATTCATTATATAATGAATAAATTTATTCTAAAAATACATAATTTTTTTTACATTTTAATAATAAAATTTCATTATTAAATTAATTGAACAGAACCGTTTTTAACTAAATCTGATACAGCATTATATTGTATAATATGTTGAGAACCTGATTCAAAATCTATCTCTTCATCCATTGAACCAGGAAGTATAATTCCATTAATCCTATTATTAGCCCTTAAAAATACATATGCTTTCATGTTAGGTTTTATAGTTAATTTATTAACTTCAAATGTCTGAAAATTTCCAGGCATATGTTGCAGAGCAATTGTTCTAAAAAGTGTTTCCATATTTGCAAGAAATTCTTTTGCAAATTGAAGTTCTGCAACCGTTAAATAACATTCTTCAGAAGATCTATTTGCTTCTTCAGAAAGTATATGAATAGTATATTTTTCAATTTTCTCTAATCGAGCTCTAAGATAACTAGATATCAAAAATCTAATCCTATCTAATTCCATTCTATGAATCATTAATCTTAAATCTCCTTTATCTAACCTCTTCATATTTTCTTCCATATGTGTAATTTGTTGTAGCATACAATCAACTAAATCAGATCGATGTGGTAAAATTTCAGGAGCAAATTTTTCATTTAACCAGGCTTCTTCTATAGCTAATAAAACACTCTGAGCTGTTAATTCTTCTTCTTCTTCTTGATCACTATTCTCTATTGTCAATTGTGGTTCTGAATCTTCCATATTTTATATCTTTTACAAAAAACAGTACAACAATAATAATAAATATAAACTATTATTATGTGAATTCGTATTTTAACAGTTTTCAATAGCTTAATGCTACGATATCGGTTAATCAAAAAATAATATATAAGAAATCAAAATCATTCCGTTGTTATTCGAAATTATATCACGTGTCATATGATTGAATTCGATATTTCTCGTTATTTAACTTTAAACCGCGAATAAAATAAGCTTTTAAATTTGAATAAAGATTATTTATTAAAGATTATAATTTTCATTTTTTTATATTAAAAAAAGATATTTTATAATTACATGCATATTATTTAATAATTACATAATTATATAACTTATAACATATATATAATATAAATATAACTTATAATTATAAATGACAATTTAAATGAAAATATTGATAAGAAAACCAAATAAAATTTAATAAAACCGAATAAAATAAAATAATAAAAAAATAATAATATTTCTTCTAATATATATGAATAAAATGAATATTAATACAGAATTATGATTTAAAATAAAATCTAAAATAAATATGAAAAGATATGATAAGAAGAATATCAAAGAATAATTATGATTTAAATTAAAATATGAAAAAAATAGAAAAGAATATGAGAAAAAAATTATTAAAAGATAAAATGATTTTTCGTATTTTATAATTTTTAGTTCATATTCTATTACTATTTTAATTTTATAAGGTTTCTGTTTCGATACTAAAAACACGTCAAGGTATTCTTAAATCCTCGTTAACTTAATAAAATACTTCTTAAGACTTTAACATTCTAAGACCGTCTTAGGTTAGTAAGAATTTATAGAAAATAAGACGGATTGGGTACATATGGTAGAGTCAAAGCACAAGACCGGTTCATATTTAAACGGACGTGAAACAGTTAAAACGAGCCGCATCCAACAGTGGACCTAACAGCCTTCCTACATCCTTCTGTTAAATTTAAATAACCCCGTGACCATTTCAAACCAAGCTTACAGGACTGTGTAGCTACTTGGATTAGTTCGTATTATTACGATTTTCTCCAAATAGACAAAGGTAAGAAAAAAATGATAATGTTTTATTCATTTCAAGTGTACTCTGGAAATTAATATATTAAAAATCATAATTTTATTAATTATACTATCTCTGATGATGTTTCAATTTACTTATAGTGATGTTTTATACATTGTAGAAAATTTTTTTATTTCGAATTATTAACTCGAACAATTTGTTTTGTTAAAATTAAACGATAAAAAAATATAGAATAAAATCTCAAACAAATTTTTGAAAATTTTTGAAAATATGTAGGTTCAAAAATGATTGCTGTTTCGGGACCAAGTTATGAAGCTTTCTCTTATGGTGGCCAATCCAGATTCAATAATCAAACTGTGGTTGACAAAGTTCCACCTGATATGCTTCATCTGATTGATATTAATTGGTATCAATACCCACCATTAAATCCTATGTGGCATGGAATTCTTGGATTCGTAATGAGCGTGCTTGGTTTTATCTCTATTACGGGAAATGGAATGGTCATCTATATATTTCTTTCAACAAAAAGTCTTCGCACGCCAAGCAATTTGTTCGTAATCAACCTTGCCATCAGTGATTTCCTTATGATGCTCAGCATGTCTCCACCTATGGTGTGTAAAATAATTTTTAATTCTGAGCTATCAAAATAATTTCAATCAATTGTAGAAATTATAGTCTTATTAAAAATATTGTCACAATTCAAAAATATGAAATAAAATTCAATGAAATTCGTTGCTTGATAGGTAATCAATTGTTATTACGAGACATGGGTACTCGGACCTCTTTTCTGTCAAATCTATGCGATGTTGGGCTCCTTGTTCGGATGTGGCTCCATTTGGACAATGACGATGATCGCATTCGATAGATATAATGTAATCGTGAAAGGTTTATCTGGTAAACCGCTGTCCATTAATGGAGCTCTCCTTCGTATAATAGCTATATGGTTGTTCTCTCTCTTATGGACTATTGCACCTATGTTTGGCTGGAATCGGTAAATTTTTGACTTTTGATCGCGATTATATATATTTTAAATATTTTTCATATATATTTATTGATTAGAAATAACGAAATTCATATTCTTTCTTAGATATGTACCTGAAGGTAATATGACCGCTTGCGGCACCGATTACTTTAACAGAGGATTATTATCTGCTTCTTATCTTGTCTGCTACAGCATTTGGGTTTACTTCGTTCCTCTGTTCCTCATCATTTATAGTTATTGGTTTATCATTAAAGCGGTAGCTGCCCATGAGAAGAATATGCGCGAACAAGCAAAAAAGATGAATGTTGCTTCTCTCCGATCATCTGAAAATCAAAATACTAGTGCCGAATGTAAATTAGCCAAAGTATGATCCTATATGATTTTATATTTCTTTATCCTCATCTTGTCAAACTTTTTACATAATATAATAAAACATTTTATAACTTTAGGTTGCTCTTATGACAATCTCTTTATGGTTTATGGCTTGGACTCCGTATCTTGTCATTAATTTTTCGGGCATATTCAATCTTGTTAAAATCAGCCCACTTTATACCATCTGGGGTTCTCTCTTTGCCAAAGCCAATGCAGTTTACAATCCGATCGTTTATGGAATTAGGTAATTATATTTACATGAATTTAAATAAGTTGAAAATGAATTAAATTTTATTCTTTTTTTTTTAACATTCTTTTTTCAGTCATCCGAAATATCGAGCTGCGCTGTTTACGAAATTCCCATCATTGGCATGCGCTGCTGAACCAGCTACAGACGCTGTATCTACAACTTCCGGTACAACTACTGTTACGGATAGCGAAAAATCTAATGCGTAAAATAATATACCACAAAATTTTTTTTTTCAAATCGTAATGCAAAAAATTCAACAATTAATGAGTATAGATTAAAACATATTTGACTAAGAGTCAAATATTAAATAATTTAATTTACTACAGACACGATTTGTAAACATAAAAAACACACGTATCTGATATAATATTAAAAAATCTTTTTTTCTATGAAAAAAATATGTTCGATTAATTAATATTTGAAATTAAAACAATTGATTGTTGAATTCAAAAATTCGAAATTACAGCCTAGCAAGGAGTATATATCTATATTCGACGAAGAACAATTTCAGTATATGAAATTTTATTACATGATAAAATAAATAACATTTTTGTCACCTGTGATTAAATATATGATTCGCATTTCACCACAATGCAAATCATTAATATTTACATAGGTATGATTTTGCGTAATTAATTTATTGTGTATCGATATATACATGGTCACTTTGGTATAGCAGCTCTATTTACTAGATTAGTAAGCACATCACATTGCAAATAAAATATGAAGAGAGCATCCTAATATCTTAATTTTATAAAACCAAATAAATTCTGCAAGCAATTGAATTTTAGTATAATTATTTCCTGCAAACACTTTCTCCTTACAATCAATTTTCAAATGATATTCAGTTTACAAAAAATTCAATTTTTTTTTATTTATAATAAAAATTTATTATAAGTTTTTTTAATTTTCCGAAGCTTTGTCTCCTGCAGTTGCAGTTTGATCTTCTGTTGAGCCGCATACTAAGAAGGGTAGTTTTTGTTTCAATGCAGCTCTATATTTTGGATGACTATATATAAAATATAAAACAATATTATTATTTTCAATTAAGACAATAAAATTAAAATACTTATACAAACCTAATTCCATAAACAATCGGATTATATATTGCATTCGCTTTTGCAAAGAGGGAACCCCATATTGTGAAAAGAGGTGTGATAAGAGATCGATTAAAAATTCCAATATAATTAATCACAAGATATGGTGTCCATGCCATAAACCATAATGATATTGTCGTTAGCGCTACCTGTAAAATAAAAATATTATATATATATCCATATATAATAGTTTAAATTATTTATGTATATAAAGTTTATTCATATTTTATTCATCATATCCTATTTAAATTAATAAATATTCTTGAATATTTTTAAAAATATAATATACTTTTGCTAATTTCGCTTCAGCGCTAGTGTTTTGATTATCTCCAGATCGTAAAGAAACGACATTCATTTTTTTTGCTTGTTCTTTCATTGCTTTTTCATGAGCCGCAACAGCCTATAAAATGGTGACGTATATAATTAATTACAATTATAATTATAAATTAATTATAAATACATTAAAATATAAATTAAAATATAAATTAAAATATAAATTAAAAATGTTTAATTCCAATACATTTACCGAAACGATAAAATAATAACTGTAAATAATAGTGAATAATGGAGTGTAATATACGAAAAAAGAATAAACTAATATATATGATTTAGAAGTCCAATCTTGAGTAAGATAATCTGTTCCACATGCTGTCATATTACCTTCCGGAACGTATCTAATTTATAAATACAATATGATAATTATTAAAGATATTTATTATTTCTTATTTAACAATAGGAGAATACATTTTTAAAATTAAAATATTACCTATTCCATCCTACTAAAGGTAAAATTGTCCATATTAAACCAAAAAGCCAAATACCTAAAATTTGAAGCATAGCTCTTTTGATAGTAAGAGGTGTTCCAGACATACCCTAAAAATTTTTTTATTATATTATTTTTATAATGTTAGTGTATCTATTTATATATAAATATATATGTATATATACTTTTACTATAACATTATATCTATCTAAAGCAATAGCTGTCATAGTCCATATAGAAGCACATCCACATAATGATCCAACCATTGCATAAATATCACACATTAAACTACCTAAATAAAAATTATTTTAATGTAAAGTTTTGCAAAAAAGACAAATATTTTTAAAATTATAAATAATAAATATATCTATTTTTTCTTACCAAGAACCCATGTTTCATAAAAACAACAAATTACCATAGGGGGACACATAAAACCCATCATAATAAAATCAGAGAAAGCAAGATTTACTATAAGAAGATTACTTGGTGTTCTTAGAGATGGTGTCATTATAAATATATAAACCACTACACCATTTCCACACCATCCCATAATACCTAATATAATCATAACTAAACCTAAGATTTTATGCCATAATGGATCCAATGGTGGAAATTGATACCTTTTAAAATATAATAATACAATATAAACATAAATACACAAATTTTTTTCTATTACAAAAAATAAATTACCAATATAAATCAATTAAATGTAACATCTCTTCAGGTACTTTACTAACAACTGTTTGATTATTAAAACGCATCAATTGTCTTGCAAATTGTGGTCCTGTAGTAGTTAGGGTAGAGATATTTGAAGGCATAACTTCAGTAAAAAAAGAAGTTGTTATATTTAATGTATCCATTATTTACTAAATTTACAAATAAAATTTAAAACTACACAGAACTAGAGAAAACTACACATTCCCCTTTTACACTTAACTGTTCATATCTTACTATAATTATGAATGCATTAGTCTTCTTTTATATCTTCAGTAAAATAAAATCCAATAAAGTCATCCAATAAAATATTCAAATTCAAATAAATTTACATATAGTTCCAATAATGCATTTGTATTATTATTATATAAGTTTTAGAATAGTATGACATGAATACTGTCATTTTAAATTTAAAATAATCTAATCAAAGTGAAACTTTATATATGCTTTTGAATTTAAGTTAAAATGATCAATAGAGATTCATATTTAAATCATATGATGTATTATTTTAATATACAATTAAAAATAACTTAAAAGTATTTTATAATATCTATATACTTTATTGCATAAAATTTAATTACATTACACACATAGTATTATCATTTTATGACTCTTGAAAGTCTACGAATATGTTGACTATACCCTTCTTGTACAGCTTCTTCTAATTGTTGTGTTATATATGATAAATTAATAGGATCAGTTTGAAGTAATATATGTTCAATATTTTCATCCTTATCAGAATTTTTTATAGATAAATCCAAAGTAATAAGTGGAGCAACTTGCTTTAATAATGCTCTTGATGCAATCTATAAAAAATATATTATATATAAAATATAAAAATTTAATATATTAAAGATATATTGTCCAATATAACACCTGCACTTCAAATCTCCATTCCATGTCATGGTATTTTGGTAATTTAAATCCAATATTCTTGAGTGTATCTAATATTTCATCTTTTTTAACATTATATAATTTACTTAATATAATTTCCTGCTGTTCTGAAAAACCTAAAGATGTTATAGAATCTCTAAAATCTTCAGAGTTTAACTGAAAAATTTAAATATTTAATTAAATATTTCATAAATTAACAGAAATATATATAAGTCGTTACAATTTATATTACCTTATATCTACAACTCTCTATTAATAAATTAACAAGTCCTTCAACTGAATTTTTAATTAGACTTACTTCAACTTCTAATTTTTCTGAAAATCAATAATAGTTAAATTAATAATACAAAGAATTTTTTCTTTGAACTATTAATATAAAAATACTTACGAGCTGCTGCATTATATAATTTAATATTTGGTCCTTTTTGCAAATAATCTAAAGCTAATTTGCAAAAATCTTGTAAAACTAAAAAAATATATATATAAATATATCTATGATTATTTTAAAATGAAATCAATCGATAAAATTTTACATACCTTGCGGTGTATAATCTGTAAGAAGTAATACATGTTTCTTATGATCTGGTTTTAATGTTAATAACATGTTTTATTTTATTAAAATTAATATTGTATAATTATTTGTTAAATTTCATATATAAATAAAATTTTTAATCTTACAATTTACAAGCAGTTGTCAAACCGCCATATTTACGATATACTATCAATCTATGTTTGTATCTATAAAAATGAAAATTTATATTATGAGAATTAATAAATATTTAACTTTTATTTATTCTTTCATAAAAATGGAATTTATAATATTATAATTAATAAACTATGGAATGTAATATGTTTAATATAAATTGTTATTAAGATATTTAATAGAGACATATATAATGTTAGGTTAAATGATTTTAATATAAATTTTATACAAATTTAAAAAAATATGTTTAAAAAAATATGACTTAATATTATTTTTGGGTTTTGTTTATTATTATTATTATAATTAAATAAATTAAGTAATAAGTGCTTCACAAGAAATTTATTAACAAATTTAATTAGAAATAAAAATAATCACATTTGTGATTATACAATTTTTTTTGTTCTCTGATATTGATATAACAAAAAGCGACAACATTGTAATTATTTCATATGTGAAATTATGCTTTTGGTTGAGAAAATGATGCCTTTATTTGAGCTTGTTGAAACATCTGTTGATATTTTTCTAATGTTTCACGATGTGTATCTTGTTTTTTATCTAATGTAGTTATCAATTCCTCCACTCTTTTCCTAAAAATTATAATATAATTATATTAAAAAATCATTTGTATTCCTTTTATATATACAATATTTTTCTTGTTTCTCATATTTAATTCATAAATATATAATTAATAACTTACAACTCAGAGGAGATATATTCCATTCGTTTAGCAACATTTTGCTTTGCTTCTTCTACATCCTGCTTAATAAGAACTGGTCCAATTAATTTAAAAACATCATCTTCTGATTTTAAGAGATCTAATTCTTTTTTTACAGCAATATTTTCATTTAATTGTCCATCCAACTGCTGTCTTTGACTCAATGCTTTGTGGAAATCTGATACAAACAGAATCTATGTGTGTACAAGGCAGTTAATTAATTATAATTGCATAACATATCATAAAAAATATAATTTATATAAGAAAATCAAATAAAATACCTTTTTGAACTTGTTTATACTTGTCTAACTCTGTTTTTAAATTTTTTTGAATTTCTTCTGTCATATTCGTCTGAAATAGAAAATTATTAATATATTAATATAATAATAAAATAATAATTATTTAATAATTAATTATAATAATATAAAATATAAATATCCGATTACATTCCAAATATTAAATATATTTATTATAATGAATGAGCAAATATAATTTTCCTAATTCATAAGGTTCATTACAATTGTTTTGTATTTTACTAACTTTTCATTTTAAATATATCATACCATATTGGGATAATGTTCCGTAACAATCTTTTCCACGAATTGTATTACTAATATTTGTTAACAAAAAATAAAAGAAGTAGAAAATTTTATAAAGAATATCGGTATTCTTTCTAATTAAATTTGCTTAACCTATTTTATTTCAACCCTTCTTAATGTTGACTAGCTTAAATGTGTTACAGATATGTGATACTCCACCAGTATGCATATATTATACATACATATCCTAAGATATAAATATAGTTAATATCAAAATATAAGCACAATAGCAATATAAAATTATTTTTTATTTTATTAATAAAAAATAAAATATTTTACATATATTTTAAATATATATATATTTTTTAAATTATATAAATTTATAATTTTTATTGTTTTAAATTCCCTAGATTTTACAATAATCACAAGATGGTGACACTGTATCACTGTATACAATCATATCTATCATATCTAGTTAAATTATACTATATCTTGCATTAGTTGATTAAACAAGTGTTGCTTTTATACAAATTAGAAAAATGGAAACGATTCTAGAACAACAACGACGTTATCACGAAGAAAGGGAAAGATTAATGGATGCAATGGTCAAAGAAATGCTTTACAAAAAACCAGGACATAGAGAAAGTATAAATTCAGAACATCGGTTAAAAATGTTACTTGATCAGTATATGGATAGTACTTCGCATTTACAGGATTTATATGAAGATAAAGATGGTCAAAGAAAAGAAGAAGTATGTTAAATCTCTTACAATATATTTATAATTCAATAATAATAAGTTTTTATTATATAGGTACAAGCACTTTCTGGGCCAAATGAATTTTCCGAATTTTATTCCAGATTGAAATCTATAAAAGATTTCTATCGTCGACATCCTAATGAAATAAGTATTCCAATGTCTGTAGAATTTGAGGAACTAGCTAAAATGAGGGAAAACCCAACAGAGGAACTTTCAAATCTTGTTGAATTTACAGATGAAGAAGGTTATGGCAAATATCTTGATCTTCATGAATGTTATGAAAAATATATAAATCTTAAAGGAATAGAAAAAATAGATTATATTACATATTTATCAACTTTTGATCATTTGTTTGATATACCAAGAGAAAGGAAAAATGCTGAATATCAAAAGTATGTGGAATCTTTATTAGAATATTTGATTGATTATTTAAGTAGAGTTAGACCTTTACTTGATATAAATGCAGAATTGGAGGAAGCAAGCAAACAATTTGAAACAGAATGGGAAAATAGTACATTTCCAGGATGGCCAAAAGAAACTGGTAGTGCTTTAACTCATGTAGGTGCTCATTTAGAACTTTCTGCTTTTTCTTCATGGGAAGAGCTTGCATCTCTTGGTTTAGACAGATTAAAATCAGCATTAATGGCTTTGGGTTTAAAATGTGGTGGTACATTAGAAGAAAGAGCTCAAAGACTTTTTAGTACAAAAGGAGAAGCATCTTTGGATCCAAATTTATTAGCTAAAAGTAGTAAAAATAGAAAATCTGGAAAGGGAAGAAATTCTGAAAAGCAAAAAGAAATTGCATATTTAGAATCTCATGTATATAAACTTGCAGAATTGGTATCAACTCAACGTGTAGCCACAAAAGAAAATGTTCAAAGAAAACAAGCCAGAACAGAAGGTGAGAGAGGAGATTCTGATGCTGAAGCTAGTGCTAGTGAATCAGAAGAAGAAGATGATAACGAAGTTCCTTATAATCCCAAAAATCTTCCTCTTGGTTGGGATGGCAAACCAATACCATATTGGTTATATAAATTACATGGCTTGAATATTAGTTATAATTGTGAAATATGTGGAAATTTTACATATAAAGGACCAAAAGCTTTTCAAAGACATTTTGCAGAATGGAGACACGCACATGGTATGCGTTGTCTTGGTATTCCAAATACTGCACATTTTGCCAATGTGACACAAATAGAAGATGCCTTAGCTTTATGGGAAAAATTAAAAGCTCAGAAACAAGCAGAACGTTGGCAACCAGAACAAGAAGAAGAATTTGAAGATTCTCTTGGAAATGTTGTTAATCGTAAAACATATGAGGATTTAAAAAGACAAGGTCTATTATAGATATATTTTTATCATATTACAAAGTGTCATACATTTCATTTATATACTTAATATCTGCCTATTATTTATATTATCTGTAATATCATAAATAATAAAAATTATTTATATAAATTCTAAGCAGTACTTCTGAAATATTTTGATATTTATTCTGATAAATTTGAAGTTGAATATATATTTGTAAATTATATTTAATAATTTATGCTCCTTTTAAATGTAAATAATTTAATTAATAAAAATTACTTTTTTACTAATTTAATTATTATAAATATATATAATTATTATATATAATTATTATAAATAAAATTATTGAATAAAAATTTTAAAAATTATTTAAAGTTAAAATATAAAAAACATTAAAAATAATATGCATTTTTATGAAAAGATTGTAAATAATATATTTATAAACTAAGTTTAAATTTCCTTTTTCAATTTAATTTAATTTCACTATCGTATTTTTAATATTAAAATTATATTTCTATTTTAAAAAAAAATATACATCTTTAAACAAAACTTACTATTCATTAATTAAATATTCATTTATTAAACAGGGACTTTAAGATTCTTTAAATATTTCTTTGACCAATGAGAATGCAGTAATCTTATACCCAGAAATTATAGAGCGCGTGGTTTGCTTCATTTTCTAGAGATGAATACCTCTTATGTTATTTTATAACGTGTCTTGTAACCGAAACTTTCTGATTGTAGGTAGGAAATATTCTAATTTATTATCAATTTTCTTTGTGATTATATCATTTATAATATCAATAAAATATAATTCAGAGAAAAATTTATCAATTGTGTAAATAATTTATATATAATTTTAAATGTATAATTTTAAATGTTATCATATCACATTGAATTCGATTAGAAGCACGATGTTTCAGCGACGTGATTAAAACCACGTGCTTCGAAAGACACATCATTTTTATAAAAATGATATATAATGTGAGCATTTATCAAAATAATTTTATTGTATTAATTTGTGTAATCATTTTAATAGTTTTATTTTTTTTTTCTTAATAAAGGTAGTTAAATAATTTTGAAAAAATATAAATTGGGAAATACAATTTTTTATTACTATCGTAAAGAGGCATGCTGAAACAGAATGACGGAATTCGTAGATGGTTGGATATTTGGACACACTCTAGGAGAAGGTGCTTTCGGCGAGTATGTTCACATATTTTTAATTTGTATAATCATGGATTAATTATTAAATGATTAAATATAAAATAAAAAATTTTCAGAAAATTAACAGTATTTTATATTATAACATTTTTATATTTTTTTTTCTTTATTATGATTATCACATGTTATTATCATTAAATTTGATTTTTATTTTCAGAGTAAAATTGGTTATAAATAAATCTACAGGTGAAGCTGTTGCTATGAAAATGATAGACTTAGAGAAGCATCCAGATGCTCATCATACTGTTCGTAAAGAAACTACAATTCATCGTATGCTCTCTAATCCTAATATTATACAGTATTTTGGAAAGCGTAGTGAACCTAACATGGAATATATATTTTTGGAATATGCTTCAGGTGGAGAACTTTTTGATAGAATTGGTAAGATATTATGTTTAATATTATAAATTATGAAATAAAATTCTATTGTTAATAAATCTATTCCTTTAATTAAAATAGAACCTGATGTTGGTATGCCAATATGGGAAGCACAAAAATATTTCAAACAGTTGATCTCTGGTATAGAATATCTTCATAGTAAAGGTATTGCTCACAGAGATTTGAAACCAGAAAATTTGCTATTAGATGAACATGATAATTTGAAAGTTTCTGATTTTGGCATGGCAACAATATATCGTTTACAAGGCAAAGAACGTTGTTTAGAGAAAAGATGTGGAACATTACCATATGTTGCCCCAGAAGTATTATTACGTCCCTATCATGCAGAACCAGCCGATATATGGTCATGTGGTATAATTCTTGTTGCTTTACTGACTGGAGGTAATTTTTATAGGAAAATTTATTTAAGATTGTTGTTTAAATTATTTTTTAAAAATAATAAATTTAAATAGGTAGTGACATTTAAATAATATTGTAATAAAAAAACTGTAAAAAATTGAAAATGTTATTTAATTATTCAATTCAATTGTTACAAATATAATATACAAATTATTATCAATAATAATCAATGATCACAATTGTATTTGTAAAATGCAGATTGCTGTAATCTTTAGTCTGATGGTTTAGGTCTAATATGTAACTTACATTTCTTAGTTTTTAACTGGTCCATATCTAAACTATAGAACTGCCTTGGGATCAGTCCTTGGCAGAGTGTCCAGAGTATATGGCATGGAGAGATGGAAAATACATGTCTCTTACACCATGGAAAAAATTGGATAATTCTTCATTGTCTCTGATAAAAAATATTCTTATGCATTCACCACAATCCAGATTTACTATAAAGAATATTAAACAACATAGGTGGTTCATCAAAAAATTCCAGAAAGGTACGCATCAAAATATATAATATATAAATATATTTATATATTTTATATAAATATTTTTTATTGTATAACATCTATGAAAAAATTCAGTAAGTAAGGTCAAACAAATATTTACTTCGTCAGGTACTGAGTGACTCTGAGTATATATTAAATTACTCAAAGCAGCTTGGTACCTAACTGAGTGGATATTGAATACAACAATTTTTGAAAAATAAAGTAAGTATAATAATTTTATTTTAATTATGATTATTAAACATTGAATAAAAATATTCAAATAAAATTAATGTTAATAAATATAATAATTTTTCAAGACTATCAAAGCTTTTGCCTTTACTTTGGTAATATAGCTCTATGATTTTAATTAAGGATCATAAAGCTAGATTACCAAAGCAAAGAGCACTGGCATTATACATCCAAATAAAATATTAAAAATTTCACTTCATAAAAAAAAATATTTATATTGTTATTAATTTTTCTTTACTTTTCTGTGATTTAATTTTGTTTATAAAGTATATGAATTATAAGCATGTGTGTAAATGATATAATAAAAATCTTGTGTAATAGCTGGCAATATAGAAGGATATATTCGACCTGATGAAACTGATTCGAGACAAATAATAGAAGACGAAAACTTAACACGATTTTGTTTATCACAACCTGAATTACCTGCGATAGAAAATACTAATACAGTGGAAATTAATTTGGAAGAACGGCCCGGATTTTCATTTTCGCAACCTGCACATATAGAAGATTTATTGTTATGTACACAAGTACAAACGAAACAATTTACTCAAACAAGTCAAGTAATACATTTTTTATGACGAATATCGATATATATCAAAAATATTAATAATTTATAATTCATAATTGAATATTTTATAGCAAAATACTTTCCAACGATTGGTGCGAAGAATGACAAGATTTTTTGTTAAAACAGAATTGGAAACAACTGTGAAAAGATTAATAAATTGTTTAAAAGATGAAAATTATACATATCGCATTAGTAATTTTGGCACAGTAAGTTATTATTAAGTTATTATTATATACAAAATTATTCAAATTTGAATTATCTTATATATTACAATATCAATTAAGATTATAAATAATTAATTTGTATAATTATCTTTTTATAGATAACTATATCAGGTGTTGATAGAAGAAAGATGCCTTTAGTTTTTAAAGCAAATATTGTTGAAATGGATGGAAAAATATTAGTTGATTTTCGATTATCTAAAGGTTGTGGTTTAGAATTTAAACGAAGATTCGTAAAAATTAAATCTTTATTAGAAGATATTATATTAAAGGGTCCTGTTACATGGCCAATTGCTGTTGCAACTGAATGCATGCCTTAATTATGTATAATTAAGTTTTTTTAATAAATTTTTTTATATCCTTTCAAAAATGAGTTTTATTATATTTTGTATATTATGCTAAATGAGATAGATTTAACATGTAATAGAATTTTGTATTTCATTAAAATACAGATCATGTTGTATTTTTGAAAAAAAATGAAAATATATTCAATGACTTCGTATTATTGATTTTTATTAAGGACAAAAAATAAAAAAAATAAACTCTAGAATGACAGAAATAGAATAATTATTTGATTAATATGAAAAAATATGGAAATTAATGCTATCTCCAGAATACTGTAAATGAAACTCAATATACAAGGATAGCAAATAGTAAATGAAAAATAGAAATATAAGAATTGATTTTGGGTACCATCTTTCGAATGTTAAATAAACATTATTTCAAAAATAGAGTAAGATATACTATGAATTGAGAATTTCACTTTATCTTATTTTATCCTACTTTATCTTTATGAAAATGTTTAATATCCAAAAAATGATGCTATCAGTCAGTTTTTATCCTGTCTATCTTTCTATTCTTACTTTATGTTTCATTTGCGATACTCCAACATTGATTTCAATATACTCCAATATATTTCAATATATTTTTATCTTATCTCTGTTCTTATCCTATTCTTTTCTCTTGATACATAAATGGTTAATTGAACATACTTTTATCATTTTTTTTTCAAAACTAAAATGTATTTTAATCTTTAATATAAAAAATAATCATTATATTTTTCAGTTTTATATATATATACATACACATAACGTATAGTTAGCAATTGTTTTTTTAAAAAAAATTTTGATTTATTAAAAAATTTTTATACCATTGATGTATGCAATATATATTTATATTTATAGGCACACTAGTACACAATAAT